GGGGGGGGCAGGACACAACCCTCATTCCCAGCTCCTCGCAAAGAGTAACCAAAAATTTGGAAATAGTTCGTCATCTTCATCCCTAGCATTTACTAAAAGTATGCCGAAAAATCACATGGGGGCCGCTTCTAAGTGGTGACATTGTTAGTGTGGTTGTTACCCTACGTCTATGCTATAATATTTTCAAAACAGTGAAAGGAGGGCGGCCAATAATCTTTGTAACATTAATTTTCATAGTCAATGCAGACTAACTTGTGTGCTTACAAGTTATCGCTATTGTGGCACGCCAAAGTGCCTTGTCACGGCTTGCGGAGTCACCCATACGTCCATCGTCCGATTGCAGGATTGCATTCAGCTTCAATCAACCTTGACATTTTCCAGTTGTCTGTGGTTGTGTTACATTGACCGTGTGAACCGTGTTTATGGCCTTTAAAACGGCAATGAAAGGTGTTGCAGAATGCTGAGTTGCATCCCTCTATTGTGCACGAGAAAGTGGTCAAGGCCGCCTTTATGGATTCGGTAAAAACTCACCTATACGGACGTTTTGGTGTGCACTACACGTGATTATTGGCGTTTTGGCGACAACACTTGATCCTTTACAAAACTCTGTCCCTAATATTTACAATTTTTCTTCTGCGTTTCCTAATATTCAAAATGTACCAAGTGTCAAGTTTCTTTTTTGAAGAGTATATTTATTATGGGATTCTCCAACACAGACGTATGCGCATATAGCAGCCCAGCAAGCTCTAGACACGTTTAAAGCAGTCGTCAAGGGTATTAGAAACAGTGTAAAAGTGTTCCATAAACAAGTCAGACTGCAGAGGAACACGCTTCCAAGAAACGCTGCCATCACAACACCATCTAAATAGCTGCAAAGGAGGACTGCCACATGATAGTTAATCAAAGTGTTGACTAATTCTTGAAGCAAAATAAAATCAGTACACTATCAATCGTCAACCCCTTCAAACCCCAAGTCTATCAAAAAGTCGTTTCCTACAGTTCGTTTGCATCGTATATGCCAAGCAGAAAGCTATTCTGTTTCACATAAAAAATCAATTTACAAAAAGAATAAGAAATATTATATTTCAACGAAACATTTAAATCTGCTCAGCGTCGTACAATCCAGGACCTTATTCAACTCAGAAGAACTACAGACTCGATACAACATACATCTCATTTACCATGCGCTTGACTATCTTCAACCTGCTTAAAGTTAATTGTGTACGCCCACATTTTTCACCCACGAGCCACCCCTGGGGGAGGGATAGGTAGGGAGGGGAGACAGTGAGCACGGGTGAGGGATTAAAGTCGTCATGTCGACAGTAGACCATAAAAGGTAGGTGTTTTACGCCCCCATCGACACAGTTTAGATCATTTAGGAAGCGGGCTTCCGACCCTGCCTGTCAGGGCCAACCCGGACTGAAAGAGATATACAACATCCCAGCAGAAAGACAGATACTTGACAGACATTTTCTCCTCTCACGGTAATTAAACTTGAGTCACTTGCATGCAATATCAAATCACCTACCGCTACTCCACATAGAATCTACGTCGGTTGACAGTAAACTATGGTTAACCAAAGCCGTATGTAAGATATTATCTAATTGTACGTTTTATTAGGTTTTTTTCCACCAATAAAAAAGATGGCAACCGGTATTTAGATTACATAACCAATTGCTAATGGAAGGACAGTCACGAAAACATTTTCAATATAAACTGATACAACTGCAGAAAAGACTACAACACAATACTAACAATGGCAACACAAATGGTCTCTACTCTAAATATAAAGAAAATGACTACGACACCAACAACACAATAACAATAAAGAGGAAACAAAAGGGCGCGCTCATGTAACCTTATGCAGTTGCGAGCACCGTAAAACTCTTACTAAAATTATACTAAACAAGAGGAAACAAAATTCCAAACTTTATAACGATATGAATAGTTACTATAGAACGTGATATCAGAACAGAGTTATTTTCCCAACAGCAGCTTTAACAACAGGTAACACAACTTCTGTAAATACTTACAAAAGTGCAAACCGCAACACCTTTTATAACAACAACAACAATGATAACACGAATGCCATTGAAATATATGTGCTTTTAAACACAGTGTGGTCTGAGCTTTTATAAGACGCAGCATCAATTCGTCAGCCTTGCGAACTATGGGCTAAAAGTTAATGTTCCGGAAAGAACATGGAAATGCTGTGAACCCAATGGGGTGTCAACCGTAATTATCTGCGGGGATGATCCAATGCCTGAATCGGTGACCACGGCTACCTGCGCGTTGACTTAACATGAGGAGCATGAGATAGCAAAGATAACAAAAAAAATAACACCTTATAGTCTACAATTAAACACAACAAGGTAAAAAAAATGGTCATGTCCAAACCATATTCCTTTGATTTCAAACCCCCACTATAACATGCGATCATAATAATAAAATAATAATAATAATAATAGATTGCATTTATATAGCCCATATCCACTTATGCAATGCTCTATGCGCTTAACATGGTACATGATATAAAAGGATGAAATCTGTCTATAATAACCACTAAATGAATTTTTCAAACGTAAAAAAGGAAAAGCTTTAAGAATTTTACACTTGAGAGGATCAAAAAGTCTCTGAATATAATATATGTTCAGTTTGTCGGGGTAGATGGCATTATACATACATTAGTTTGTCCTCGGTACGGTAGTCTTCAAATGTATAGCAACAGCAGGAATAACTTGCTAATCTTGCAATAGCGACAAACAGAACAGCAATAAAACTAAGTACCTCTGTAACAGACATTATATATACACTACAACATCGGAGGAATGATGACATGTTTCAATTTGTTGGGTCAGACAAAGCAAACACACACACGAGCACACCTTGTTGGGGGCAGCCCAGTTTGTCACAGGCCCAGTTTGTCACCTCTTCATGTAAGTATTTGAATTTTGATGACAGTCAGAATTACAGCACTTTAAAACTGTAGATCTAGTTGTAATTTATGTGTTTTTTTATTCTCCATCTTCAAATTGGTGGTGTAGATGTAGGCCCTCTAAAATGTCAGTTCAGCTTGACGTGTTGTTCAACATTTCTTCCTTTTTCTATGCAAATCAAAGCAAATTTAAATTACTCGGTAAAATTTCAACAGTGAATGTTCTTCCGTTTAAAACTATTGAAAAATAAAATTCAATTCATACAATTAATTAATCATTAATTTACTCTTTTTGAGAGTGTCAGTGACAACTTCCATCATGCAGGGCACAGTCGAGGCCTGTGACAAACTTGCATGCTTCCCACCTCGTTTCCTAGCCCATTGCTACTTGGGCAAAAAGTAGGCCAAGGCCATTTTTACATGTAGCCTAGGCTTAAAAGGTCACATGTCAAATATACTTGTGGACCACAGCGTTGGGAGAGGGCTAAAAAGAACACTTAGTTACCTGGTATAACTTCTCGCTGTGTCCAGTTAATATTTTGTATAACTGGGAAAACGTATGGAAGCCTTTTCAAAGATAGCTAGCAAATCGTAAAAAATGTTTTCCTACGGTACATCATATAGAAAATAGTACAAACATCGCATTTTAATAGTCAAATATACTAAACTAAGCTCACTTCCTAATCTAGTAGAGGGGGATCTCGTGGCCTAAAGGTTAAGGTGTTCGCCTCTCATTCAATAAGTCCCAGGATGGAACCCGGATAGCTATGGAATTTTTCTTCTCTAAAATTTTCTACTTTCACATCCTTTAATTTCTCTAACAATGTTCCGTCGTCTGTTTTTGTCTCCATTTTCTGCCCCCGCCCCTCACCTCCTTTCCCCCTACTCTGGGCTCCTGGCTCTTTCTGCAGCCTTTCTACTGCTTTTCCTTGGCTCCTTCTTACTGTTGTCTTTCAGCCACACTCTTGATCTTATGGTAGGTAAGATCTACACATAGCCCTTCGGACAAGGGAGAAAAATCTCGGTGGTCCCGTGTGCAAGTTGCGCACGTTAAAGATCCCTTGGTGGTCCTAAATCGAAGAGAGTAGGCTTCGCTCGCCACCCGGGCAAAATTCAAAATTTCTTACCAACTGAAAATGTTTGGTGTGTCCCGTGCGCTCATATGACACTATGCAGTTGCGAGCCCCGCAAAACGCTTACCAAAATAAAAATGTAATAGAAAGCAAAGGCACAGTAAAATTATGGGATGTTTCTTCGCGCAATCTGCTATTTGTAATTTTCTTAACGTTTTTTTTTTATGTGTTCCAGGCATGAGAAGCCACCCTTTGAATGCTGAAACTACGTTGTAGTATGTTGTTAGTTCATCCACTTATACATGTAGTACTTTTAAACTCCTCTTTTTATGTAGAAAGGTTATCGCAGAGAGAGGCAAGACTTCGGACGTGACTATTTTGTCCAATTTGTAAGCGACAGGTGTAGGGAAGGCAACACGATGTTAGAGCTACTCTCGTTGGGGAATACTGCATTGGACCTTCCGACCTTTGATCACCCGCATTGTACCAAACTCCCTGATTGTACTTTGGCATGAAACCAGAAGTGTTCGCTGACCGTTTTGAGTACCTAATTTCCTTTTTTATGCCCTCTGTCCTTTTGTCCACTTCTACAATGTGTATACATGTGTGTGTGTGTGTGTGTGTGTGTGTGTGTGTGTGTGTGTGTGTGTGTGTGTATGTCTGTGTGTATTTGTTTGTGTGTGGGTGTGTGGGTGTGTATTTGTGTGTGTGTGTGTGTGTGTGTGTGTGTGTGTGTGTGTGTGTGTGTGATAACAAAACTGGACAGGGTGATCTTGCGGACAGACATTCTTGGATTGGGGAAAGCCTTGATTCAAGAATTGCTAGCTACGCCAATAAGTAAGCTTTATTCGAAGCGATACCCTCTTACTGCCAGCGGCGCTGGCCAAAGCTACATAATACTGAGTGAAATGGGTTAAAATACACAAGCATGTTTAAATGTCCAGGACATTGACAACTCGAATGGAGATATTTGGTCGAGCGGAAGTTGCTCTAAGTATAATGACAATGGAGTCGAAAAAGAGCCTCACTCTCGCTCAAGATTTCTTCGTGGAGTCCACCAGGCCCATTAAGGAAAAAAAAATATCATCATCATCATCATCAGCAGATGTTATGGAACACCTCACTATATTATGAATTTGAACCACCATCATTTGCATTATAGTTCAACTTGGTACCAATTAACCTTCGGTTTGCTAGCGATTTTGCAGGGAATGCTGAAAGAGAAAGTAAAGAAATCACACGAAAAGAATGTGAACCATGGTTACAATTTGTTTAATATCATAATAAGCAATCTGAAGCAAATAGAAAATAGCCAAGCGCTGTAATCTACTTAATTCACAATTTAAAAACTTCAGACTGAAACATCAAAGAGACATGTGGAATAAGAAGAAAGAGATGTTAACCATCCAAAGGGCATGATTATTTTAAAAAGTCACTCGAACCTCTGGTGTACATCGATGCATTTTTGCGTTTTGACGGACGATTTTCAAGCAGTGTACATGATACAGCTTTGTGTGGGAGGTAGCCATAGAGGAAGTAGATTGCCTAAATTCTACCTCCCTCCTCGCTTGGCGTCCTTGAGGTGCTCCAAAGGAGAGGCATCGTCAGTACGTTTGTGAGGCAGCGTGGTGGAATCAGGCTTTCGTCAAAATAATCCAAATGAAGAAACTTGCATTTTTCCACAGGTTTGTGAATTTTTATTAAATTTTTGTTTTTTGGCTCAACACCTTTCATGCCTATTAAAGAACTTATTTCGGTGTGGATTTTTCAGAAAAACGTAGATTAAAGACACATAAAATTTTTAGTTACCGCGGATTCCTAAGCTAAGGAAATAACTAACTTTTGGCGGCTACTTTCTCACTAATTTTACCTCTGAAAACAGGTGACCCCCACCTCCTTCTTTCGCAAATATCTCGACTTGTATTCAAGATAAATAGATACTTTTTTCATCCAAATAACAACAAGTGAACAAGCTTTAAGATGATACCAATAACTCTACATGCCCAATAATTGACAAGAGCCTGATTCCACCACCCTGCCTCACATTTGGAATCAAAGAAGATGTAAGGGTGTATCTTACTATTTCTTTTTCTTCTCCGCCAGATCTCAGGAGTAGTTTTGAAAGTGAATATACTTGGAACAGCTTGAGTATTAGGATATCGTCTACATTTAACACATTATTATGTGAAAATGGAAACGATAAAACAGAGAATAAGAACAAAAATATTTTTAAAAACCAGAATGAACTGTATATACACGTAAAACTGCTATAAATTTTTATGAAACCAGTAACATGTTAAACTGGCAAAAGCATAGTGAAACCAATAAACCATCAATTGTTCATTTGAAATGAAACATAAAAATAGAAACGGACACTAATGGAAACCATGGTAACTTATACGTGTAAAAAAACAACAGCACATATATTGTCAAAAACATTATGCAATTAGAAGCAAGCTAAATGAACCAAAGAAAGATTATTATCTCTACAAATAAAGATTCATTGCAAAATAAAGGAACATCTTTAACAGGTGAATAAATGAAAGGAGTTAAAATGGTTGCACGGCACTATGATTGTCACGTAAGAGGACAAGACATGAGCACTGGAGAAATGGAATGTTTTTTTAAAGTACAGCAAGGGTTTGAAACGAAAAGCTATACGCATACTGCCTTGCAAGCCACTTGAACCAAGTGTGTGATAACAATAATAGTAAAAATAGTATTTGTGTAGTACATATCCCCGTTCAAATGAAAACTGTATGCGTTCCACAAGCAATATCTAACGTACAAAAACACATGAGAGTGGGGTGGGAACGGTGGAAAACCTCTAACCCAGTTTTTAAAAACGGTGTTGAAGTGTTTAAAAATGCAAAACGCATTCGCAACTTTGGAAGCATATCACTTAAGCAAAGTGTAAATGAAAACTTTGAAGGCTCAGGAAATAAGGACAATGGAAAATATTTGGGCAGGATTTTCTTTCAGGAGGAAAAAGGCAAAGAACAAAGAAACATTACACTTGGGAGGATCTGCAGTCCTTTCAACGCCTTCACGTGATTGCTCTTGAAGATTTTTCTTCCTTTCACTGCAGCAGCCGTGGGCCTTTTCTGCATTCTTCTGGATTTCATCAACCGTTTTCTGCTCACGAACGTCTATCAAGAAGTCTAATCTCAAAAGGTTTTGGAGATTTTGTTATGCTCATCACGTCACTTATCTTTGGGGGAACATCTGGGTCTGGGGCCAAAAACTGGAATCGCTGACACATTGACGAGAGGTACAGAAACAATTCCATCTTCGCCAAGGCTTCCCCAAGACAAACTCGCCTGCCAACTGAAAAAGGAGTAAATTCTTCGAAGTGTTTTAGATCACCCATATCGTCAAGGAAACGTTCTGGTCGGAAAGTATCCACGTCCTCCCCCCAAACTGTTTTGTCGAAAAATACTGACGTCATATTTCCAATAACATGCGCCCCCTTTGGTATCTTGAACCCTCTGAAGGTCGTGTCACGTGAACACATATGGGTAACCCCAAAAGGGACAATGTTCCCAATCCTCTGAGTTTCCATAATTGCAGCGTTCAAATATTTCAGCTTGCTTTTGTCCATCATAGTTGGAGCCTTTTCTGTACCAATTTCAGAGTTAATCTCATTGAAGATTTTTTCCTGGATTTCAGGGTAGTGCAGCATATAGAGAAGAAACCAGCTGATGGTCGTGCTTGTCGTCTCCATCCCAGCGCCTAACAGATCTTCTATGACTTTTGTCAGGTTTCTCTGGTCAAGATGGGTCGACTCTCCATTCTTTTCCTTTTGGTTTTTCTGGAACACATACTTTGCAATAAAATTGTCCGTGTTCGCTTCGTTGTATTCTGTGAATCCTTTGAGGTCTCTAAAATAAAGGATAAAAAGTTCTCCGAATTCTCTCCTGTTCTTCGATATAATTTTAGTATTGAAGAGATCCCCTGGAAGGTAGTGTAAAACGGGATACATACTGAGAATAGTGGGTCCCAAGCCAATGAGATGTGTAACGTTATAGTTCATCAGCTCAACCACTCTTTTAAACTTCGGGTCTTCATAGTCGAAGCGCTGCCCCACAAGCACAGAGCAAATAACATTTGCCACACTTATATTCGTAAGAATGCGTATGTCTTTTGGTTTCCCCTCCAACTTGCTCAGACAAGTAAGATATTGGGCTACCTCCTCTTGTATTCCCTCGGCTAAAACGTTCTTTCCCATGCCCAAGTCTCTAAGAATGCCTTGGGAAACAGATCTCTGTTCTTTCCAGTTCGGTCCTGAAGACATCACAACGCCCAGACCTTGGTAATTCATGGCCTGTCGAAAGAAAAGGAATAATATAATATCACAAAATGCTCGGTGTTTAAAATTTTTTTTAAAGACCTGTGCCTACCGGTTCATTGCTTTTAACCTTGAAGCAAAGCTTAGGGGTTCCTGGGTCATCAATAACAACAACAATAATGACAACAACTGTAACAGCAGAAAACAATGTGAGAAAACATGACTGCTTTGGTAACCTGTTCTCGAGTTTTGTGTTGACTTTTTGGGCAAAAATAATTAGGATAGTGTCGAAAGGGGGCACTTGATCTCTTAAGAATACGTTGAAAAGAGAAAAACTCGCATCAGAAAAAGAACAAATCCCCCGTCTCCCTCCCCTCTCCCCTCCCCCCCCTCTCTCTCTCTCTCTCTCTCTCTCTCTCTCTCTCTCTCTCTTTCTCTCTTTCTCTCTTGGATCCAAACCCAGACTCCACGAGTTGATCTAGTCTGTAACTTACATAATAGCATTTCAAATTGTTGGATATTTAAAGTCGTATGTGGCGTTTTGTGTAAGTTATTTAATTTAAGATAATTAAACTACAAACGATCAAGACTAATTTCTTTGAAAACAAATCAGCTTAAAAGTAAACCAATGAGTGTCCCCCATCCCTTGTCATCTTGCTTGAACTTTACCAGAATACAGTTAATACATAACATTTACACAAGTAAATGCTAAAGCATTAGAACTATGTAGTTCAATGTAAAATGGTCAGTACGAACAACGAAGAAAATGATTGGGTTGTTGTTTTTTTAATTGATGGTTTTTCTTCGTTCGGTTCGTTCGTGTCAGCTGCCGGTGAGATTGTAGAACCTTGTAAATAGCTGTTCCAATAGCATACCAATATCCAAGCACACAAGAGAATCACAAACAAAAAAACCCAACAAAATTGAGAATACGGAGACAGCCTTTATTTTAAGATGATAAATATTGATTTCCATTGTGTATTCTAAAAAATTCCAATACATGGAAAGGAAACCCTATCTTAAGTTAGGTAAAACAGATATGTTTAGAGTGTACAGAATGGAAAACTGAAGGACCAAATGGTATATATGAAAAGATAGTGTAGAGACAGCAAAGCAACAAACGCCATCTTTTTCCCAAAACTAAAAAGTTTTAAACATAACATTATTATACACTGCCATACTTCTAGCGCGTTGAATGTTTCTTTTTCTGTAGAGTAGCCCTGGGTGTAACTTCTGGTAATTGGAGCCATTGAAGACAGCAAGAAAAATGCACAGAAGATTGTCTTAGACTACCGTCATTTAGGCTGGCATGCTGGTTCTGGGTACAATTACTTGTGTTCTTTTTTTTTTTAAAGACCTGGTATCTAAAGTTCAACAGGTGACACTCTATTTTTACGACTACGGTATGCAAGAACAATCAATTCATCTTCCTATTTCCACTTACATGGACTTTTTAAAAAATTACTTTTTTTTCTGAATTAAGCCTGACTTTACATTCAGTTTCCAAGAACGGTTGCCCCCTGAGACAGGTGACCACCATGTAGAATTGTATTATCGTTTTCATAATGTTAAAGTCCTATATTTCGTTCAAATAATGTGTAAGTTGAAGATCATTCAGTGGCAGATTTGAGACGACCAATAGCAGCTGCACAGACGTCTCAGCACTCACTGAAAGGGGAGCGCAGGGGCTGGATACAGGCGTTGTGTAAATGAATATTCATCTATTAGAACAGATGGGGGTCGAATTAAGAAGAAGTGTTTCCACTACTTTAGCGTGGTCGGTGCTTCATTGAAAATTGCTGTTTTTTTAATACTATACATATATTGGCATTCGTAGTAAGAAAACTATATGTGAAAAATATGCCAGCTGTTCACCAAAAGGGACCCACCAAGTTGACATCTATAATAGGTACAAATGTATAACATGTAAGTGATCGCCAGTACAAGGATTTCGATGTTTTCCTCATCTCTATTCTCTGTGAAATCCAAAAACATGCATATCCTGCTGGAACTATTGCCTTTCGACAACTCTGACTTCAAATGGTCCGGGGGATCTGGATATGCTCATAACTTCAATTATCTCTGGTGGGTTGAGAGGGTCTGGTGCCAAAAACTGAAAACGTTGACACATTGATGAGATGCGAATAAACAACTCCATGTTTGCCAGCGCCTCTCCGGGACACGCTCTCTTACCCATAGAAAATGGAGTAAACTCTTCAAAGTGCTTTAAGTTACCCTTGTCATCGATGAAACGCTCTGGTCGGAAATTATCTGCGTCTTCACCCCATACTTGTTTGTCAGAAAAGATAGACGACATGTTACCAATAACGTGTGTTCCTTTTGGTATCTTGAAGCCTTTGAATGTGGTATCCCGAGGGCACAAGTGAGTTACTCCCATTGGAGAGACATTTCCCATTCTCTGAGCTTCCATGATTGTGGCGTTTAGATATTTCAGCTTGTTTTTGTCCATCATGGTTGGGGCCCTCTCTGTGCCTATTTCAGAGTTGATCTCTTTGAAGATTTTTTCCTGTACTTCTGGGTGATGCAGTGTATAAAGGATAAACCAGTTGATAGTGGTACTGGTCGTTTCAATTCCTGCTCCCAAAAGATCCTCTATGACTTTAGCCAAGTTCCTGTCGTCCAAATAAGTCGGCTGTCCACTCCTTTTCCTTTTGTTTTTCTCAAACACATAGCGAGCAATCAGGCTGTCCATATTTGAGTCATTGTATTCTTTTCGACCCTTCAGATCTCTAAAGTGAAGGACAAAAATTTCTCCTAACTCTTTTCTATTCTTCAAGATAAGTGCCGTTTTGAATAAGTCCCCGGGTAGATAATGTAACATCGGGTACATATTGAGAATAGCAGGTCCCACACCCAGCGCATGCGTAAAGTTATAGTTTATCAAACCAACCACCCTTTTGAACGTCGGATCATCATACTCAAAGCGTTGACCCACCACCACAGAGAAGAGAACATTAGCAACACTCATGTTTGTCAGCAGTCGTATGTCTGCTGGTTTCCCATCCAGATTGCTAAGACACGTGAGGTATTGCGCCACCTCATCCTGAATTCTCCCGGCCAAAACGTTCCTGCCCATCCCCATGTCCCTTAGTATACTCAGAGTAACCGATCTTTGTTCCTTCCAGTTAGGGCCAGAAGCCATCACAATGCCCAAATCATGGTAATTTGAGGCCTGTTGAAAACAAGAAGACTTCAGTTCACAAATCGCTACCTTAGAATCATAAAGTTCTATCTGACATTTTCGGCCGTTTTGAGTTACTAAGACCATGAGATCAAAACCCAAATGTTCTACTTGCTATATCAGAATCGTAAGATTATTCGAAGTCGTTATCAAGACATTCAAAGAATTGCATTCGAAAAAAGCTTGACAGGCTGTGAAATTCAAATTTTTTAACGTCAATTTTTTTTTTCAAAACTAGGTACTGAGCAGATAGAACAGTGTATTTCTGGGGTAGCGAAATGGCAGCAAAACGTTGCGTTGATGACTTGTTCAAACACTGAATTAGTCTATATGTAAGACTCCTTGGTACATTTTAATTACTTAAAAGACTAGACACCTGTTTTGCAACTGCAAAAAAATCTGGAGGGAAAAAAGTCAAAGTAATCCACGGGAAACATTGCGCTGAATCATCAGTATATATCTTCGTTAAAGTCCAAGCAGTCTCTTGTTACAGCTCATTTCATTTCAAATTTATCAAAAATGTATCTTACACATAAATAGGTAATCTACTATACTGTGGTTATTGCATTTATTGCTAAATCACAGCCTACTGAAAACAGAGTATGGGTC